CGCAAGAAGAAATGAATGAATCTAGAAAATTTTCATGTTCAGCTTATCAGTGCAAATACCAAGTCAACATCTTTCAGTGATGTAGGATACTCTGATCACCTGAAGTTTTTTTCTTAAAGAAAAAATATAGAATGTCAAGTGTATTTAAACTTACTTGTTGACATGTTGCTAAATGCTATACTGCAGAGGGATGTATTTGAGTACAAATACAGAGAATCAGTTCGTGAGGTCTCGCTGAAATTTGCACAGTAGATGGCAAAGATTTTTTTTATGCTCTGATAATTATTAGGTTGCTGCAAAAGTAATGCGCGTTCTTCCAGCCCTTCTTTCAGAACAACTTTTCTCCATCGAACTTCCTCCTTTGAAAGAAACTTAGCAAACTTTCAAAAAGCCCCTTTCATGCTCTATCCAGTGGTGGTCAAGAGCAGCTTCTAGCCCCATGCATTAAAAATTAATAGAGCTGCATACAACCGCACTCGAAAGCAGGATTCCATCGCACTCACTTTTTTGGCCAGAATTCAAGCACGAGTGAGCGCAGTCTTCTGATGTCTACATTATGCATGTTTGATTATTTTCTTAGAAAGCACCTAGACTGAGATTTCGGTCTAGGTGCTTTCTAAGAAAACTAAGCTTTCTTTCCTCAACATGGGTAAAGGTTTTGTTCATTCTGTGCCCCATAAATTTCCTTTGAAGAGGGTAATCGCCAAAGCTACACTTGCGTAAGCGTAAGGGTGGGTCTCCTGTTGACATTTGCAGAAACTGTTAGCTGTTCAGTACGCAGAAAATTAAGAATCTCCATTTTTTGGGATTTTGAGGTCCACGAAAAAATGTCGGAGAAAGAGGACAATTTTGAATTACATTCTATCCTTCTCGCAAATCTTCTGTGTTTGAGCCCTTTTAAACTTTTTTGGTACTATTGACTTGCGGCTACAAGACTGGCTACTCATTATTTGAACTAACAAATTTTGAAGGGAGTTATGATCACTTAGATACGAGGATCCAGAGAAAAATTTTGTTTGCTTATCGATTCATATTCTTGCGCCCTTTCGTGATAGGAGCATAGATGAATGTGCTGTATTGAGAGAGGTTTTATTTCCGAAAGTCCTTAATGCACTAGAAAATATGGATTTCTTAGAAAGTTGTAGCACACTGAAGTGAGAACTCTCAAAACGCGCATTACTTTTGCAACAACCTAATATTTTATAGCATTGCTTGTGGGTTACACACTTACTTTGAAAAACCATTTGATTTTGCTTTGATTCGATTCGTTTAGAAGTGAGCACAAGACTATATTCTTTCTCCAGCTCTATCAATGATGCAATGCAACTTACTTAGGTTGGAGGTTTCGTAGGCAGTTCACAGTAAATACGAGTCACTTAGAAACCATCATTACAATTTCACTAAAAAAGTTAATGGCAACTGATTTTTCATACGATGTTCGCCTACTGTTTACTACCAATTCAATGAATGAATTCGTAACAGCACCATTAAGGCTGGTCGCATTTTTACCACCTGTTGTACTGAAATAACAATTCTTCGAATGAACGAATCGATCAACTTTGTGTGAATGTGTTTTGCAAAAGTGTAGGATGCTACTTCTGAGCGCAGATTCTCGCATTATCTCATAGAACGTCTCCCTAGAAACCCAACAAAATGTTATGCAAAAGATCCCTTCATCAAGAAGGCGCCAAAGATCTTGCGATATTCAAACGACGACTCTTTGAATTTTACTAGTTTATAATTCGTTTTGAAGGCATAAAAAAGTTTTCGTTCTAGAAATTACTTTCTCGAAATCTACAACATTAACTTTCTATTGAGAGCCATGAAGAACAATTTTTCCAGTAACAACAATTCCGCAACTACACTTTGATGTGAAGAAAAATATCACAGAGCAGTTTGCTAGACAAATGTTGCCGTAGTTTGAACATTACTAGCGGGCTTCGTTGTCATATAAATATGCAGAAACGGAATTGTAAAAAACTTTTTTTTGAAAAAAATATGCTTTTTTCTTTATTTCAGCTAAACAAAAAACTGATCTTGACTAGTGCTTACTTATAGACTGTAGGGTTTTTGTGTCAAAGTGTCGTTTTTTTTACAGAAGAATGTAGTGATAGAGAGGTTGTATGAAAAGTCGTTTTCCGCAGCTTTTCTTGTATATGAACTGAGCTTATCATAGTGATATGCCTGCTACTGCTATTTACGAAATTTTATAGGGGTTTTGGGGCTGCTAGCTACAATAAACTTAATTGAATTTTGTACAATAAAATTTTTCACACATCAAAATTTTTGAACTGAAGCAATTCATTAGCCATGCAAGAACCGGGCAAACCTAACGTAGAGGCAGTGTCTCGGCAGAATTCCTTTAGTTTTTCACCTTTTCGAAGCTTCCTCGCCATAGGTTATGGCGAAAGTGAGCTTTTTTCAAAGCTTCCCAGGTCCATAATCAGTGGAGAATACGTGTAAGTGGGGATGGCTCGGCTGGAGAGGCGGGTCGCGAAAGACTTCCGGCGTATTTCCATTGAATGTGGACCTGAAAAGCGCTAGAAAAACCTCTTTTTCGCCATTTTCATGCGCTGAGAAGCCCAGATATGGATTTCCCATGACGCAAATGCTCCGAAAAGAGTCAAAACTGGAAGATGAAATGTTGCCGAGACACTGCTTCTAAGCAGAGAATTATTGATGAGTCTTACAAAAAAATTCATGTTCATACGCCTGCCCACTCCACATATGTAGTGCATAGATTTTTGCAAGACATGCAAGGTGCCTTCTTGCAACTTCCTCACAGAATGCTGAAATTTTAGCGGTATTTCCCGTAGCAGAGGAAAAATGGGAATGTTATTAAATCTAAAGTTAAGTGCAGACATACAAAGGAGCCCAAATAGCGAAAAAATGATGAGCAAATTCGTGTAAGGTGTTGCAAACCAATTTTGTAATGCTTAGCTTGCATAGTTTGAGTACATTTGCAACCTTCATCAAAATTGGCCAATCTTTAGTACTAATCATAGTTCATTATATATTAGTATTGCTGTTGTATGCTATGGACATACGTTACCCTCGTTGCCGTTTTGAAAATCTGTGAAATATACGCGCCGTGTCGGTGTAATGCTACTAAATGTCAGATTTCAACAAAAACGGTATATCCTGAAAGAGCTCAATTTATTCTATCCAAAAGTGCATATAACTTCTAAAATACCCGTATCCTCCCCACCTAACGCCAATAGCGTCCACATGTGAGTATTGCCTGCTCATAACTGATCACGCAGGAAAGAGCATGCGTTTCGCGAAAGATAGAAGCTGTTTTAGATACATTTCACAAAGCCTTTCCCGAACATGTGCATTTCTTTCTCAAAATCTGACAAACGGGAATTACACCGACGCGACGGCTTCTACGCGATAACGCGTTTAGTTCGCAGATTTTAACTGCCGCAACGACGCTTGTATGTGGCACATAGTTTTTGGTGTTTTTTTATTTACTGTCAGCGATATGGAGACAATCTTTGCCAAGGACAGCCCACATATTCGCTTACATTTACTATCTTGACTGAAATTTTTTCCCAATCTTCTACTCAGAGTCTTGATTTCAGGAAGATAGAGAAGCTATTGAAATTGGATTAAAGCCTCCTCGAAAATTCACTTCGCTTACAAGGATAGCATCAACACAATCGACGAGCAGGTACCTATGTACTTTGCTATACTTCTGGTCAAAGGAAACACAGAGGTAAGTCTGACCACTCAACTAGCAATCTTAACCGATCCGTAACGTAAATCGAAGCAATAGTTTCTGACAATAAAATCTGCATTGAGATAAGCTACAGATTTACAACAAAAAATGTTTCCTATCGAAGACTGCTTAAATCTACATGGAATCATTTACAATATACATCATCTTTATCTGAAGAATTTTAGATCTATTAGATTAGCGGATAGCTTTCGCTACACTTTTATTTTGATTTCTGAGAAGCTTTCAAAAAATCTTGTGTTCAAGGCGTTTCGGGGGTTTAAAGCTGTATCCCGTCGCTATTACCGTATCAGCGACGTGCACAAACTCCACTTCATAATTGAGACTACTTTTTATGGCCATTTTTTCCACTGGTCTCCTCCAGGTGTGCCGTGAGAGACCGGCAATGTGGTAATAGTGCAAGGTATAGTCCAAATACCGTTGCTTGAAAATGTCAGGAGAATGTGAATGCGATATCACCGTGACAGCTTGATTCCAAGTATCAGGTAGTCCCATGAGTTTCGTCCGTTTTGAATTTCAAATGTAATAAGTCATGCACTTCTTGATTTTCAAAAGTTTGCAAGGAACATTTGATAGAGCAAGTCAAGCTCTGCAAAACGGCTTTCGTGCTTTCGCACCAACTCAAATCCATCTCGAGTTTGAAGCCAAAAATCAAAAGATCCAAACGCCAAAAATTGGAGAAAAATCGTAACTCTGTCCAAAAAAAAATCCTGTAGAATTTACCACATGCTCACCGATACTCTACCCTCATCAGACATCCATGTATACTGTTGCTGTATTTTATCTTGTATAGTAATCAAGAAAACGAAGACTTTTATGTTTTTGCTGAAGTGATACTGCAGTACTCTATTAGTGACTCCCTCCCCCTCCAGAAGCTCCAGAGGAAAGGGAGTGTCCTATTTAAGCATCCCATGCCACACCACCTTGCTCGACCCTGAGCACGAATGATCCGGAAGATATGACTTGTGACGGTTTTTACACCCTTCCTCCCTTGCCCATCTACAGAAATCGCATCGTTCCGCCATATTGAGGTATCACTTAGAAACTGGAAGCTGTAGCTAATCAGTGATCCCACCGGTTGCATTTTGGCCTTTTTGAGTATAACCAAATCTGTTATCAACTTCAGAAATCTTGGCAAACAACTCCTAGAGTTCATAGCACAGCAGCTTTCCATAGTCAACACTTTGTAAGCTACAAAACGTAAATTCAACTTTTCGGGACTTGTAAGTTTTGTTGAAAGAAAAAGTTTTTGAGACACTGATTACGTTCTGTATTTGTAAGCGTGTTTCTTTCCTTTGTTCGCTGCCCAGTCACGGCCGTCCGTCGCAAGAAAGATCCTTGGATCTTGCAGACATGCTTGTGCGCATCTCAACTCTTCACCCGGATTGAGTAGTTCGCATAATTTAATGCACTGTAAGACAGAAATCATGATAGCAATCGTAAAGTGCAAAACGAACATCTCTAATATTATGCGGACGTTGACCAGCACTACTCGCGCCAGGAGGTACAGCAACATTCGGCGCGCCAATTTGAGCACCATTTACTTCATACACGAACACCAGCAGTACGGCCAACAGCATCTTGTAGAAAAGCATAATGTTTGCAGATGAATCTGTAAATGGAAAATGCTAAGAAATACCTACAACTTGCTTTCAAAACAATGCAGCTGCATTAATGCATTATCGGGCTTCACAAGTCAATAAATCTCTAATTCCTAAAAACTATCATTCTTTTTATCACACAATACGATATACGACATCTCAGACAACTGCATCGGAAAGTTCGCGGCCTCAAAGCGTGCTACATGGCGCGCCGCGGCCCTTAAAATTTCAGCCGCGCACGCCGCGGCCCATGTATATTTTACCGGGAACGCCGCGGTCAAACTTAAAATTGGAAAGAGCTTATCGGGAGAGTCGCGGCCCAATCACCTCACTTTGCTTGCCGCGGGCCTTATCAAAGGCCGCACTTCTTACACGCTGTAGCTTAGGCGCAACCAGCGTGAGGTACGCTACAGCGATGGGACTACCCTAAGTGTTTGTGGAGCTGGTAATCGCTTCTCGTGGGTTGTGTAACAGTTGAGTTTATATGCTAACGAAACATCAGCAATCGGTTGAGTATTATCGACGACGGTAGATGATGTCGACAGATGAGCTAACAAGTTGCTCAATTTGTACTCAGTCGTTGTCATGAAAGACAGCCCAAAATTTCTTCACTCTTCCTAGGCCTCACATGCATGCTAATCGGGTCAACTATCGGGCGCTTACAGGATGCGCCGCGGTCACTTATCGGGTCCAATGTCGGTTTATACCGGGCAGCTCGCGGCATGGATGATTGGTGGCCGAGCAAGCACCCGCGAACTTCCCGATGCAATTGTCTGAGATATGGTGCAAAGAGCGTAAGCGTCATTAAGAGGTTTGTAAGCTTTTCCAGAATGAAGGAACGAGTCTCTGCAAAGTTGTATAGCCTTCCTAGTCTTTGAAGTTGTTGAGTTCGTTCTTGCATTGCATCTCGTCCGTTTTCCCGCTCAGAATTCGTATTTTAATTTCAACGTTACTGTATTTTTTAATGATGCCGCAGGACGAGCTGCGAAAATTGTATTGCTTTGCTAGAAAAGCCTTCGAGGTCAATGCAAAAAGGTTCAACATTGTAACTTTTTCAAATAATTCATTTCTTACGAGAAAATTGTCTAAAATCAAGACTTTGGAAGTCGACGAGAAGATTCAAAAACTTCAAAAAGGTCGCGGAAAGAGTGAGCTTTGCTCTATTCAAAGGTAGCTTCACAAATTTCGATATGCAAGAAAACATTGGCACAACCTTTTTTCAATCCATTTCTGGGGCGCTATGCATCAATCGCCCGTGCGGGTAAGTTACCCGCAATTTTTCATTTTGGGTTGTAACTAGGGCACGGTCAATGAGAGCGTGTTGACGCATATGTAGTTTGCCTGCTGACGTGTTCTCAAAGTGGCTTCGTTCACGCTGTTTTTTTGCATTTCTTCGGTTTACAGCTCATTTTGTGCACTCTTCTTTTTGTATATCACTCAAACTATCCCAAGAACTAACAGAATGTTGCGAAGAAGTTATTCGTCTCGATTTTTCAAAGTTTTTCGTTGACGGTTCAATTTGGAACTGTTGCCACAAGAAAAGCACAGACTTCAGTACCTGGCTGAATTTTTCGGGTTGTACTCACGGGAAACTTAACCCCGAAAAACCAGCAGATATTGTGAAAGTCGCCGTCGTGAATGAGATCCGGCCAGAGAAGCTTAGAGCTGTAATTTTTTTTCAGCGTCAGGGTATCAGTTGTCATTGTTGTTTCGATTTCCTTTCTAGGAAAAAAAAGTTATTGTTTGGAAAATAAACCCGCTGAACGGAAAGCGGAACAAGAAAGAAAAGAGGTTTCTCTATATTGTAAGTTTTTTGATTGCATTCGCGCTTTTTTTGAATTAATGCTTTTTTAATGCTTTTGAGAGCTTTCGAGCTTATTGCAAAGCTGGTTTTCTTTTTTCAAAGTATGCGTTCTCAACAGAGAGTTATGTTGATAAACATAATCCAAATTTTTTGTGGTAGTTTTCATGCCATCGTAGTTCGGCACTCACCTCTAATACATCCTATGCAGCATAAAGAACAGCAGTAACTTTTTACTAATTACCGATTTCTTCGAATTTTGCTAGAAGAGGTAAAGGAAGAAAAACTAAACTCAAAACTTTGTTTGGACCTGCTCAAAACTCTGTCGAGTTCGCCTTTGATTCCTAAAATCCTTACTAACCTTCTAAATCTTCTGTTTATTTAAGATTGAAACGACTTCCGCAGCTCATGCGGCCATACAACGCTGGCGTGATCAACAAGCTGGCAAGGCTAAAGATGAAGGTTTGCGTATTGGTGCACCATGCAAAAACAATGCTTGTGACAAGGTGTCGGAGATTTATTGATTGAATGTCAATCCGTTTTTCAGTCTTATTCCGGGCCAGAATCCGACGAAACCCCATGTATACATCATCCTGGTCAAGCAGTATTTCACGAAGGCATGAAGTATTGGTCTTGTTGTCAAAAGAAAACCTCAAACTTCAATGCTTTCCTACAACAAGGAGGATGCTCAAAAGGGAAGCATCAATGGAGTGCAGTGAGTTTCGCCCTATTATTGTTTTGGCGATTTCAAACTTTATTCATAAGGTAGTCCGTACTGATCGTGAGCGTTATCTCGATTACACCATTTGAAAATTTCCATAATTCCATTTTTGTCGAACTATTCACCGAATAGCAAATCATATGTCTCTCACTGCCTCAGAAATTCATGTTATAGTAAATTGCAGCAACTTTCCTCATTTTCTGAAAAAAAAATTCATGCTTTAATGTATCTGATAACGTCATGAATATCTTTGCCTTTGAATTTCAGATTTCTTTTACTTTCTTTATATTGATGTATGTATATGTTCTGCTTTTGCAGAATGAAAAGGTGGATCATGTGCGAGTGATTGGTTTTCGGCTAACGGGTTGATCACCATTAATGTTTATTGTAAGGTGAGTCTGCATCAAAATTCCGTATTCCTTCCTGCCTTATTAACATTCTTGCTTCATCAAGAGTTATGTTTCTACTGATTCTCTATAAGCTTGTGCCATTTTTACTAATTTCGCAACAGAATTTCGCTGACACAAGTTAGTCATTAGACTGTGATTTGGTTTCTTGGGTACATAAGCGCATTTTCATCTCTTATGCAACATGACAATTTTGATAGGGTGCTTTACCTGAAGATGTACGTGTCACAAGCGATGGACAAATGCTACGTCTGCACATTGTGCACGGGTTTGGAAAGAAGGAAACGGATTTGATATATGATCTATGGGGAGAAGTTGTTTGCGAGGAAAGCAAAGTTCTTGTAGGAGAAAGGAAGGTAATTTTGTATCTTATGGACACACGATTCTCTTAATGATATCGCTATATTTTTCTTATAGGTAGAGGTGATAATGAAGCAGAAAGACTTGGTTGGTTGGCCACGTTTACGCTATGATCCAGGTTTAGATACTAGGGAAGGCAAAGAAGAAGAAGTGAAGGTGTGATCATTACCACCAGTTGTTAGCGGATTTGGCGTAATTTAGGTGGTAAGCTACGGCATACCATATTTCATTTTATGTTGTTTTTTGAATTATACTTACTGTTCTTCTGGGATGGTAATGTGCATTCATACCAATCATCTTTCTCAATCCTTGACATATGAAGTATGTTGCCCTGTAACATCGTCGTTTGTCATTTGTACCTAGCTCACATGACAGTCTAGCCGCATGTTATGATCTATTATTGTGCAGAGCTTATCAACTGCAGCGTCGTTTGCATCAGCATCTCCGTTCCGGCGCGGGACACTGCAAGCCTTCCACGAGCATGCTCTCTAATCATGTCCAATCGATTGAGGCCCCTTTTCCATGCTCGTAGTGGAAAAATGATTAGAGAGCATGGTCGCGAAAGAGGTGCAGAGTCCACGCGAAGCGGCCGTGCAAGAGCGGAGATAACTTATCAACTTATAACTTACTATTAGAATTAAGAGTATTGCAAAAACGCACGCATCTCAGAGCGTTGGGTTCAACAGTGAATAACTTTCCATTCAAAAGTGAAGTTTTTGAATTCTTCTGCATTCTTTTACAGAACGAAAACATCACGATATGGTGTTATTGCTTCTGTCTGTCGTGATATGTTTTACGTGCACATTCTCATAAAGTGCGATCTTTAGGTGATGTATGAAGCAGCCGGTAAAAAAGTTCGTCTTCGGTTCCTAAGTTCCCGACTTTTTTGGTGATGCCAAATGGCTTGCTAAAAATTGCCGGCTTACATCTCGATGTGAATTTGATTGAGACCGATGCAATGCTGCAGGTAAGACTCGCTAATTGCATATTTTTAACGTTTTTACTACTTCATAATCACTTTTTTTCATTACTTTGCCGAGCTGCTACAGTTTTATTTCTGATAGGATCCGCAACTGATTGCTACCTTGAACTCACAATTGAAGAAGAAGGAGAAGAAGAAGCCGGCCAGGAAAAACCGGCCAGGAAAAACGCTCCCGTTTCTGTTGCTGCCAATAACAGCGTCGTTAGCTGACCCGGATTTTTGGAAATAGTGTCGTTCTACTGTTGTCAGGGTTGTTGCTTTATATTCATGGACAAGAGCCATATTTATGAAGATGGTGTATCAAATGTAAACTTTTTTCGTGTTATGTTACCTATGGTGCTCACGTTCTCTATATCCTTTTCTATATCCTTTGTTTGCTTTTTATTGAACAAATATATATGACTGAGAATTTATCGGTTTTTAATTGTTCAGAATCCGTACTGATAAATGATGTGCATATGTAGACGTTATTTTTCTTTTTTTGTGGTGAAGATCTGTATCTTCCAAGGCAGAAGGTACGGAGGGCATATGTTTGAGGAACACTGTGAGAAGTTTTCAAAGTAGTGCTTTGGTGGCCGTGTTCATCAACGAACCCAGTGGTGCTGGAACCTAATGGATAGGCTTAACGCACGAAATCGGTATTCACGAAGGAACCTTGTGGGTTCCTGAACCCATGGAACTCACTGGGTTCGCGAGCCCAATGAGTTCCGGAACCCTCTGGGTTCATTGATGAATAAGGCCACAGGTAACACTGATACACTGATAAATCATTTTGGTGAGATTTCCATTCTCTTATCTTTGTCCGCTCGATGTATCCACGCACAGGTATTCGCCAATGCTGATCCGTCCAAGAATTATAAAGGCATCACATGCTTTCTTGTTGACCGTAATGAGGAAGGTGTACAAGTTGAGCGTAAGGAGGACAAACTTGGTATACGGGCTTCATCTACATGTCCGGTTCACTTCGAGAAAGTTCGCGTTCCGAAATTTGCTATACTTGGTGAATATGGTAAAGGTTAGTGAGCAGTATCGATCGTTAGCCGCTGATCTTTCAGTTTTTCCCATTCTTTCAATTGCATTTTTACCCCAGACCTTTTATATGAATATGGGCTGATTTTATGAGACCTCAACTGAACCGCGGTTCAAGCGGCCTCATAGGATTCATTCGCGGCCAGGAGAATCTGCATCAAACTTTCACCCAGTACCGTCGCACCTTAGCGTCCCCTAGTACGGTATTGGTCGAAAGTTCGAAATTGAATTTCACGGCCAAAAATGGATTTGAGAGCTGCCGAATGGGCAGTCATCCGCTCAGGGCTACCCAATCATTATTCACATAGAATTCTTCGTACTCAGATTTGCCTGGACATTGTCTTCAAAGTTTTGCAGGGTACAAGTACGCAATTGAGTGCTTGAATGGGGGTAGAATGGTATTGGAGCGCAGATGGTAGGACTAGCGCAAGGATGTTACGACAATGCTATACCTCATCTCCAAGAGCGAAAACAATTCGGGTCAAGGATTATTGATTTCCAGGTGAGGCATGAGCTCGCTAGCCTGTTTTTACAATCAAGGCATTATAAGGGACCTCTTGTTGCAGAGCATTCAGCATCAAATAGCTCAAGCAGCTGCAGAGATCGAAGCAGCTAGGTTACTCGTCTACAAGCAGCCAGAATGAAGGTGTTTTGTAAGTTGTGGTATTTAGGTATTTAAAAAAAAATGTTATAGGACAATGATATCAAGTACGTGAAAGAGGCGGCCATGGCCAAGCTCTATCCTTCTCAGGTATGCGCATTTTTAAGAAACAATTGGTTTTTACTTTGAATCGAGCATCTTTTTTGATCATGGATGTTGTACTGGTGGAAATTGTGTGCAGTTTCGTTCTACATATTCGTCGTGTTTAGGTAGCTACAAATGTGACATCTAAGTGCGTTGAATGGCTAGGAGGTATAGGTTTCACGAAAGAGTATCCCTTGGAAAAATTCTATCGCGATGCTAAAATTGGTAAGTTTAATAAGTACTCAATTTTTTCGTTTATTCATTCGCATACACCTCCTTTTAGGAACAATATACGAAGGAACCTCAAACATCCAATTGAATACTATTGCTAAATTGATTGATACGGAGTACCATTCATAAAACACACGTTCGCTTTTTAGCTTGTACTTTTTGAAATCTCACCAATGTTTATGTTCCAATCTCAAGCAATGTGCCCTACCTTTAGAACGCGTGTTTGTATATGTGTATAATTGAAAAGTTGTTTGAACTATTTATCTGTTTTGTGTGTTTTTGACAGAGTTTCTATAAATATCTCTATATCAGCCACCGGAAATGAACCCAGTAATCGCAACAATGCATCCATACAAGTTCTTCTTTCCGCTTGATAGCAGAAATATAATGATCAAATGAAACAAGTACGGGAATCTGATTTATTAGCTGCAGTCGGGCTTACGGTTTGGTCTACAATGAAATTCAAAGTTACAACCCCCTTTGGATGAAAAAAATGAAGTAACGAATCTACAAACATTATCACACAAGGAAACGTTCTTCAACTAGAAGAGTGAGGCAGTGACCAGAATTTTTTGTGCACTTCACAAGCCTCACAAAGATGAGTGGGAGCACAAATCGTTTCTACAGCATCTAAAGTGACTATCCAGCTTCCGAAATTTATTGCTGGATTTGAGGATCACTCACTCAGAAAACAGGAGACGACCTTACTGTATTGCAGTTGGATTTAAGATAGCAGGATCTTGCCCAAGCAATTGAAGAAATAAACCTATATTGATAAAGATCGGCACTATTCCAAATAAATTGACCCCAAAAAATGAAGATCGTGAATTTCGCTAAAACTTCGTCTAGTGAGGTTATTTGGTATGCTGAACACGAATATGATGTTTATTTCGTGCGAAAGCGCCATCCGGTGGAGTTACGGTAGGATTACGGTAGGGGGTCAAAATCCTGGATTTGCCCGAAACTTGGCTTAGAGGGGTTACTCGACATGCTGATTAGAAATGTCACACTTTTTCCGCACGAAAACGTCTCCATGCATGGTTACAGTAGGTTTACGGTAGGGGTCAAAATCACAAATTGGCAAATGTATCTTTCCCCTGTGCTTTGCTTAGGCAAAAGCCACAGCAGAGTGTGTAGTGCGCGGCTGTGGTCATGTGTGCAAAGCTTCACGATCATCCGAATCGCCATACACCCGTTTCGGGATGAACTATGTTTTGCACCCGTTACCGTGTAGCTACCGTAACCCGAGAAAATGACGCCACCGTTCAAAACCAATGTGATATTCAGCATCAGCGGGCCGAATAACCCCTCCGGGCCAAGTTTCGGGCAAATCGGTGGTTTTGACCCCTTACCGCAATCCTACCGTAAATCTACCGGATGGGGCCGTCGCACGAAATAAACATCATATTCGTGTTCGGCGTACCAAATAACCCCCTAGGCGAAGTTTTAGCGAAATTGACGATTTTCAGTTTTTGGGTCAACTTATTTGGAATAGTACGGAACCGATTTGGATTCAAGCTTAAGCAACCCGATGAAGATTATATTTTAGTTTGGATTTAAGTGCTTAAGAATGATTATAGATAATATGAACATAACTCCCTACTGAGAACACATGCTATGAAAAAAGGAAGCCACGCTTTTCAGGGGCTCGAAAGCTCTCAAATGCGATATCGTCCTTTCACCCCGTTGTAGCGGGCACGCAGCCTCAGACGCTCTCCTGCGAAGCGGTTTTGACCGCAGCGCAGGGTCGATACGGTTGATCAGCTGTTCATCGTCCGCTGCCACGGGAATAGGTGAGTTTTTGACAATTTCTTTATCTTTTTGCTTGCAGGTTGCAACAAAAAGTTTGGAAGGTGAGTCGAGAAAGTCTGTGAACTTTATATACAAGTGAATTGTTCGCTCTAAAAGCTGACTATCCAATCTAAGCGCAGTGTCAGCCAGTTTTTGATTTTCGTTCATGTAATCAAGATATCACGCATAAATAAACTTGAAGACTTTTTCAACTTACCTTCCATCCTCTTGTTGCAACCTGCAAGCAAAAGGATACAGAAATTACCCAAAACTCATCAATTTCTGTGGCAGCGGACGGATGAGCAGCTGATCAACCGTATCGACCCTGCGCTGCGGTCAAAACCGCTTCGCAGGAGAGCGTCTGAGGCTGCGTGCCCGCTAAACGGGGTGAAAGGACGATAACTAAAAAGCATAAACTCAAAAAGAAGCAGAAAAGCAATCAAAATACTCACAGTAAGAGGAACCTTTTTTCTTTCTTGTTCCGCATTCCGTTCAGCCTGTTTATATAGACCTTTCCAAACAATAACTTCTTCTTCCTAAAAAGAAAATCACAACAAAAATGATAACTGGTACCTTTGCGTTCAAGAAAAAATCGGATCTCTTTCACGGCGGCGACTTTCACAATATCTGCTGGTTTTTCGGGGTTAAGTTTCCCGTGAGTACAACCCGAAAAATTCAGCCAGGTACTGAAGTCTGTGCTTTTCTTGTGGCAACAGTTCCAAATTGAACCGTCAACGAAAAACTTTGAAAAATCGAGACGAATAACTTCTTCGCAACATTCTGTTAGTTCTTGGGATAGTTTGAGTGATATACAAAAAGAAGAGTGCACAAAATGAGCTGTAAACCGAAGAAATGCAAAAAAACAGCGTGAACGAAGCCACTTTGAGAACGCGTCAGCAGGCAAACTACGTATGCGTCAACACGCTCTCATTGACCCTGCCCTAGTTACAACCCAAAATGAAAAATTGCGGGTAACTTACCCGCACGGGCGATTGATGCATAGCGCCCCTGCTGATCTTATTTGCAACATTTACATTTGAGACAAAAAAGCCTTAATATCCAGCTGTTAGAGCAAACATTGATTTTTTGTATTTTTCTACCTGCCATTTAGAATTCTCAAAATAGTAGTTTGAAGTGACCTTCAACTTCGGAAGTCCTTGACAAATGCCAAGATTCTTCACCCGCCATTTCTGCCTGCTCAATGTTTGGCGAATTGCCAAAAATTTCTCCTAACTTTCAAAAAAGATACATATAGTAAGAAAAATACAAATCTTGTACTAAACATCAGTGCGTTGGATTCCGATCTGCTGTTTAGAGCTTTACGGAATCATCTCTTCGGAGATCTTGATTTTTGGTAAAATCATAAAATACATAGCTACAGGAAGAACCTAAAATTCAAAGTTTCTGCAGATTGAAATTTGATCGCCCATTGAACATCCCTTGCGCGAAATAACCAAATTTGTTCTGCTCCGAAAAAAATCATCTTTTTGAAATTTTAGCTGCGCTATGTATTGTCAAAAGGTTGTAGTTCTCTTCAAGTAAACAACTATTGCGAACTTCAAAAAACGATTAATCGGCTGAGCATAATTTAGCCGAAGGTTTGCCCTACGTGATACACCGGTCAGCAATCTAATATATAAAGAATCGTAAGCGCAATTCAAAAATGTGCACATAGCGGGAAACCACGTGGCGGTTAGCGCGCGCATGCTACTAGCACCTTCAATTGCTGGTTCACTAGTCTATTGAGATAGAATACTTCTTTGTCCAAAACAAGTGATATTTGGCGTCACTGTTAGACTCCTCGTAGAGCCATGACGATTACCAAAACCGCATAGAAGGGGGGTTGTCACTTTTGAAAAGAGATTAAAAATCTTGATTGAGTAGACCTAAGTCGTTCTTCGGTCAGCGTTCTACGACTTTTGGTGATTTTGGGGCAAAATAATAGTAAGGTTCTGGCTTTGCTAAACTGGGCTTGTAAAAGCTATGACAAATGGAAATACTGGGAGCTACTCTTAATGATTGATGAGAAGTTGGTTCCAAGTAGCAATGAAAGACAAGAGAGAAATGATAAAATGCTATGTGCTGTTCATTCATGAGATTTCACTGCTTTTATATGCTTTGTTTGTGTTTAGAGACTAATTAAGTACAATGGCTCGACGTTGTTTTACAAGAGATCGTACACCTATTGTTGAATGCTTGATATTTATTTTTCAAGAACGACAGTATGTCAGCTATTTGAACACTTGTCACGGTATCATGCTAAACATCTAACATGGTTGGAACAACAGTAGTTCAAACAGCACTTCGAACAAATTAGCTTCATATGTCATGTAAATATTGTAAACTCGCGCTCTTTGACAGTGTGTGCTTACTTGGTTGAAAAACATTATGTGGCCAAAAATATTAGGTTGGTACGAAAGTTCTGTCCCACCATTTCCAAAAAACCGTAACTTCTTCCTGACACGATGTTTTTGCTTGGATAAAACCATATTGAAAAGAGCAATTCATGTACTTTCTAAAACTGCGTTGGCTGCTATTCAGTAAGCTCTGAATGCAGAGATAAAATTGGTAAAACGAAATCACTTCAATTGGAATTTTTAGGCAAGCCCGTTAAAAATTCCAAAACTGCGTCAGAAAATCCAAAGCAGCCAGCATCCTAGACTATTTCACCCCTTTTTTCTGGCTGAGCAAAGTTCGCATTGATCGAGCTGTTCTTCTAAAAGTTATGATTTTTTGAAAAAATGTCAAAAAATCAATTTTCTTAAGAATGATTTTTTGGCATTTTTTCTTGAAAATCATAACTTCTTTCAAAAGGGCTCGATGCGCGAATTTTGCTCAGCTGGAAAAAGGCGATCAAAAAACCTAGGATACTGCCTCTTTTGGATTTTACGGCATACTTCTGGACTTTTTAACGGGCTTGCCTAAAAAATCCAAAATTGAAGTGATTTCACTTTTCCAATTTTATCTTTGCATTTAAAGCTTACTGAATAGCATCCAACATAGTTTTAAAAAGTACATGAATTGCTTTTTTCAATATGCTTTCATTCGTGCAAAAACATCGTGTCAGGAAGAAGTTACGATTTTTTGAAAATGGTGGGACAGGACTTTCGGATCAACCTAATAGGTTCTGCTAAATTCTGGCATTGTGAAAAGTATTGAGGCAGAACGCTTAAACGCCTTAGGCCTCGGGCAGAGCTCACGCGATCTCGTCGCCGCGATTCATCGCGACAAGACAACTCTAAGGCTTAAGGCATACCTCACGCGACTCCGGTCACTGCGCGATTTGGCACAACAGCGATTCTTCGTAATTCGTCGTTAATGCGCTGTTTTTGGTCAGAACTTGCTCCATTTGCAACAACTTACACAAGCTACCCAAATATGCATCCGAGAAGCTCGCACGATAAATTTGTAGAAATCTGGCAAATTGCCAAGTCGCGTGAAAGTGGCGATTCGGCCGAATTGCGTGAGGTATGCCATAGGCCTAACAATATCATT